GCCAGACATCAAAGAGGTTTGCAAAATATAATGTCATTCTTCTCATTAAACTTTTCTTTTTTAAAAAAGTTATTTCCCATAAGCGTTATTTATAGTAACATATAATGAGCTTATTTTTCAATACATTGATACTTTTAAATTGTCTCAACTTTAATTTCTAATACACTAAATATTAATATATAACTCACATAAAGAACTATAGGATCCTCAATTTTTAAGGTGTTTAAAGGGTTCCTGAGACTAAAAAGTTTGAGAACTGTAGTTCTAATGCATTGCTTTAATTTTCTCATTGATTTGCAAGAAGTGTTTTTCTTTTTCTTTTAATGCATTCTGGACATTGATCCTTTATCATATGCAACATGTATAACATACGCAATATATTACATATAACAATTGCAAACATTCTCTCCCAATCTTTAGCTTGCCTTTTTACTTAAGGTGTCTATCATTCTATAGAAGTTTTCATTTTGATGCAGTCATAGTTTCCTGCAAGTATTACGCTTTTGGGGTCTTGTTTTGAAGAAAACCTTCCATTTTGCAAAACCATGAATATAATCTTACAGATTTTCATTTAAAAATTTTGCTTTTCATATTTAGGTCTTTAACCCATCTAGCCTATTTTCTGTGAAGCATGTAAGGTAGGGGTTCTATTATTTTCCACCATAAAAATAACCTGCCACGAGATATCAAAACTCAATTCCCCATATACGCCTTGGCCAGTTTCTGAGTTCTTTATTCTCACCATGTTACACTGGCACAGGTAACTCACGGCTTTAACTTTTATAGCTTTATAATCTGCTTTGATATTTATATTAAAAACAAGTCCATACCCCTCTACCTAGTTTTCCTTCAAAATTATCCTGATTCTTCTCAAAAGTAATCTTATTTTTTTTTAATGCAACAAATTTTGGAAAATAACAGAAGGTCTACTGAATGGGGAGCCCATGTTCTGGTCCTGGCTCAGCCTCTAACCAGCTTGTGGCTGTGGGATTCCCATCTCCCTGAGCTCAGCTTTCTCTTCCATGAAACAAGAGATTTACAACCACATCTGCTTTCCCTTTTAAGAACTTACCATTTTAGTATAAAGGCATTAAACAAATTTAACAGATAAGGAATGAGCTCAATGTATTGAATAAAGATACTTTAGTATTTCAGATTATAAAAAACTGAACTTGCATCACAGAAACAGTATTATGTTTAAAAATTTATGTATAAGGGTTAAATGTCCTATTATTTTATGTGGAAGGTTAGACTAAAACAAACACAGTAACAGCATTCTCATGGGTTTGAGGTCCTCTAAGATGTGCCTATAGTTTACTGTAGAATTTTATATCCCATATGAGTTAAATAACAAGTTTAGGGATGAGCTTCTACAAATACTGTTCAATCTGGAAATTCTGGGGGGAGGATTCATTTAAATAAAACTCCTGATAAAATCCTTCTAGTAAGTCTTCCCATGATACCAAAATACCAATATTGCCCACCATCAATCAATAGGATATGAACTCTGATTTTAAGGCAAATGATCTTCCACTAATTCTTTCACAGTCCTGCTTTTTCTCCCTTGTAACCAAAGCTATGAATTAGCAAAATGCTTGGCTGGGGGGCTAAGGATACTGCTCCTATTTTGAAACAGAGGCAAATCTAACTGGGCTTTATAGAGAACTCCAGCTTTGGCACCACTAAATGAATTATGGAAAGGAATGAGAATTCTCCTAGCCCCCTCCTTCCAGTACACTCATTCTCTGCATCTTCCACATCTGAGCTAACTTCAGTCAAGACAGGCAGTTCCCACTGACCTTTTGTGAGATCAGTGTAAAATGTGTGCTCATGAATTTTAGAATATTATCTGGCATCAGAGGAAATCAAATGCCTATGATGCAACAAAAATGATATTTTACTCTTGGCATAATATATATCTTCCTGTTTTCCTCTTCAGAAGCAAACTAAGAAGCAAATTCTATAACTTAATGCACACTTAATTCAGTGCATACCCTCTGTCTGCAAATATTTTAATTAAGCAAGATATAACTTATTTTGTATGAAGTTTTTGCATTTAAAAAGCAGTTCCACGTACACTATTACAGTTGATCTTCATAATGACCCTCTAGGATAAATGAAAACAATGGTAATATTCTAAGAAGTGTGAAGAGATAGGGAAAATGAAGGTCAGAAAAGTTAGATGATTTATCAACACCACACAGGATTAGAAACTAGACCTCCTGACTTCCAGTCACAGTTGATAAAAATCCCTTAAAAATTCTGGTTGATTTTTGTTAATCAGGATAAAAAAGTGACAAGTAACGCCAATCAACCTTCACATGAAGCAGAAACAAATTAAATACCTGCATGGTCAGTACAAAGGAAAACAAAGAAGGTCTGAAGCATGAGAAAAGACCTGGTGGGTCAATGGTTAAGCACTTGTCTGCTAACTGAAAGCGTGGGTTCAAACCCAACCAGAGGCTCTGCAGGAGAAAAGATCTGGTGATCTGCTCCCACAAAGATTACAGCCTAGGAAACCTTATGGGACAGTTCTGCTCTGTCCTATAGGGTCGCTGTGAGTTGGAATCAACTTGACAGCACACAACAACAAGGGCAAAGGTTACACAACCAGACTAATGTAGCTGTTACTATTAAAGCTGTATACCAGGAAAAAAAAGGGGGGGGGAGCAAATGGCAAATACAATTTTACAACTACAACAGCAGCAAAAAAATTTAAAAAGCTGCATCTGTTGATACTACTCGGGTACAAGTAAACACTTCATGGGATTAGTTTTCTTGGTTTGAAGGGAGTCAGTGCTTAGTGGGTCTATCCAGTCAACTGGCCTTACATTGTTTTTAAGAGTTTCTATTCTACCTCCTAGTTCAGTGAGTAGCGCCTAAGGTCTTAAAAGCTTTCAAGCAGCCACCCACAAAATAACAAGTAGTCTTTATTCACCTGGAACTGCAGAGGAAGGAGACCCAGAAATCAGAGAAGAAAATGGACGGCAGGTTTAATTGCCTCCGTAAACTACGACCTCCGTAAACTATGACCTCCATTACCATGAAACCAGAAGAAATGGGAAGTACAATTACTGAACGTTTTGATCAAGGACCCAACTGACGGATCTTGATCAAAAGGAGTAAAAGCATGAAACAGCACTTCAAACTCATCTGGAAGCCAGACTTCCTGGATTGAGACTGGGGGAACTCCTGAAACTAATGCCTAGAAATAATCTTTAAACCTTGAATGGAAACTAGCACATGAAGCCATCATTAAACTATACAACCGTTTAGCCCAGTTAGTAAAAAATGTTTGCCTTGAGTATGGTGCTCTTATAAACAATTATCTATATGAGCTTAATCAGGCGACAGTTAATCAAAAGCACAGATTAAGGGGCAGAGAGTTTAAATTAATGGTGATGAAACAATGTGGGCAGAGACAGTGAGAATGTGAAGTATGTAATCAATGTTATCAAACTGTTCATCTAGAAACTGTGAATGGATGTATGTTGTGTATACTGCCACCAAAAATAAGTAATAATAAAGAAGGTCTGAAGGACCTTTGCAGGACAGTTCTCTGTCCTTCGAGATGACTTCATATTTTATACTGTACGATACCATGTAGTTAATGTTCTCCTGTTCATTAATATTCTTATTCATAATTAAGGCCCATTAGTTCAAATCAGAGGAAGATGGAAAGCATTCAGATGAGGCCTGGGAGGAAGAGAAGATCAGAAGATCAAAACCATTAAACTGACTAGTATTTCCCCTTGAGAGGATCAAGAAAAGGGGAAAAAAAGAACAATTAGGAGGAATTAATGGTAGAAGTTAGAGAAATAAAAAGGTAAGAAGGTAAACACACATCTCTAAATGGAAAAGAAAAAATAAAATTTTAAGATTGAAACAGCTATTTTAAGTCAATAACACAGAATGATCCGCAACATCAATGCCATCAAGTAAGACACACTAGGTGTTCAGAAAGGAAAATGTCATTACGAACTCGTGTTTTAGAGCTTATTACATAATTAACGACTCAAGGAGAGAAATAACTTGATTGAACAGAAAATAAATATTTCAAGCTAGCGTGTTTAGAGTTAATTTCAAGACCAACTAAAAGACTTGCCTATTTAATGCATCCTAAAAATTGACTCATCACTGATCAGTGTACTTGACTACATTCCATTATCACAATTCTCCATATTTCTATTAATATTCATCCTTGCAACAACATACATAAATATCAGTCCTATTCAAAAACATTTCATTAACAGGATACAAGGAAAAGATTAGTCCGAAGGACTAATGGACCACAGCTACCAAGGCCTCCACTGGACTGAGTCAAGTACAGCTAGATGGTGGCCAGCTACCACCACTGACTGCTCTGACCAGGATCACAACAGAGGGCTCTGGACAGAGCTGGAGAAGGACGTAGAACAAAATTCTAACTCACAAAAAAAAGACCAGATTTGCTGGCCTAAAGGAGACTGGGGAGGCCCCGAGAGTGTGGCCCCCAGACACCCTTTCGGCTCGGTGGTGACGTCACCTCCAAGGTTCGCCGTTCGGCCTGGGAGTGGACAGCCCCATAGAACCAGATGGGACTAGTGAGGTACAGCAGTCCGGGGATGGGGGCCGGAGGGCAGGGGAAGACAGGGAAGCTGGTGGTGGGGGGCCCAAGGTTGAGTAAGGATAGTGTTGATGTGTTGTGGGGTTGTTGACCATTTTCATGGGGCAACATGTGTACTAACTGTTGGATGGGAGACTATTTTGTTCTGTGGGCCTTCATCTAGGATGAGTGGCAGCACAATTGGAAGAGCATGGTTGGTGTCGCTGAACTGTGCATGTGGAAATTTTGGGGGTTGTGGATCTTTGGCTATGTATATTTTCACCAAAAGAGGAAGGTCGAGAGGGGAGAGAGTTGACGTGTTGTGGGGTTGTTGGCCGGTGTCATGGAACAGTATGTGTGCTGCTGTTTCATGGGAAACTATTTGTTCTGTGGGCCTTTGCCTGAAGTGCAATTAAAAAAAAAAAAAAATTTCATTAAAAAAGTTTTTCTCCAATGAATAATAGGAAAAACAAAAAACTTCTGAAAATAGTGAAGAAAAAAAAACCTCAAGACAGAACATATCCCTTGCTAAAGAGTCAGTATAAATTCTGAACCGTCTGCTACCCTGTTCCATCATACTTTATAGCTGACACCATGCCCAGGAAGGAAGTGCCGTATAAATCAGTTTGTGTCCACCTACCTCCACAATTCAAACCAGAGACAGGAAAGCCAGAAGATGCATCTTGTTTATGATTACCAGAAAAATATGAAATAAAATCATAATTCTACCTTGAAGAGATATTATTCTTGAGACATAACTACATATGTCCAAGCAGTTTCTATCAATCATTGTCCTTGAGGAAATATAATTATTATTATATATATATTATTACTCAATGCTCTTGTATTTTGTTATGCATATATACATATATATACAAAAGCATTAAATAATAATATGAAATTCACAAAATAAAACAGAAAGGGGCATTTATGTGTGTTAAAATAATTTAATTCTCCCTGTACATTTCTGTCTATGTAAAAGCCAACAGAGATCAAGACTGCACACTTTATAGTATTTACCTGTTTTGGGGCATTCAAGGCAATTCAAATGGCAAGAGCAGAATTCAGTCAATCACTAGTGAAATGTTTAAAAAATATATATTAAACAAAAAAATGTTTTTACGAGATAAAAAATAATCTTCCACAATGCAACAAATTGCAGATCACTGAAATTTTAACTCTTTAGATGGTTTCAGTTCAGTTTTTGGTTTTGAAATCTAGAGACAGTCAAAAAGAAAAAGTGTTGGCAGAATTTCTATCTGTTTCTACGTTTTTCTTTTTTACTTCGACTACTTGCTACACTGTTTAAAGAAGATGATGAAAGTGCTCTTGCATGACCTGTGGCCTTTAGATGTTCAAAAAGTTTATTCCGGGATGGAAATTCATCATGGCAGGTTGTACAGCTGATAAGAACATCACCCTGAGAAGGGAAAGAATCATAAATAAAAGTATTATTCCCTGAGTGCAGTGTTATATTGTAATATTGAGATGAAACATTAAACAATTACAAAATAAAGATGTTTTAATAAAACGGACAGCTACCAAGACACACAACAAAGGTAGGCATGCTTGGAAGTTAAATCTCACTAACCAACACCATCAACTGTAAGAGTCCTGAGACAATCAATGGCATGGACCACACAGACTAGAATAGTTTGTGCTTCATAATTAATCTTCAGAATTTGACAAACATGTAGTTACAGTCGCTGCCGAGGCTTTAGATTTCAAAGTTGTGGAAAACTGAAAAGTACACAGTCTAATCAATGAGCTTTTTAAAGAAGAAAAAATGACAGCAGCACATACTTAAATTGTAAGGTTGCCAAGTAAAAACTGAGGGGTCCACACTTTTGCAGCAGCTTTTAGGCAGAAAGGTTCACCGGATACACGTTTATATCTTTAGAACATAATATTACTTAAACAACGATGTCCACTAAAAAAATTCGAATATGATTTTGACCTACCATTGTTTGTGGTTCAACAGATACTTTGACAGGTTTTTTCATATCTTTGGCTTTCTTTCCTTTGGGTTTAGGAACACTGAAAAATAAATTAAATTTAACTCAACATAATCTAATTACACTGCACCCCTTTTAATCACCATCTTGCTCCCAAGAAGACTCAAGTGAGAGAGATGCACTTTAAAGGCCAATTCATTAATTTTAATGACCGATTTAATGAATCCTCACATATCAAGTGAACAGCTTTAAAGAGCAACATTAGAGAGCAAATTTGGCACAAGAATTAAGTAATTTACTTACAACAGTTGAGACACAAGCTAAAACAAGACCCCTAAAAGATCTCTGAACTTTCAGATAGCGTGTTTTATAAAAAGCAAAGCACTTAACCACCATTTATTGAAGCAAACCATCTTCACACCCAACTAGTAGTATCCACAAATAATCTGTAACATTAAGTGTGGTTCCCCAAAAACACAACTTCTTGAACCTGATTCAGTCTGTGACAAACATTTCATATCAGAGAAGAGCACAACCTTGCCAGTGCAGAGGGGAAAGACACAGCAGCGGCCTTGTTCTCCTGTGAGTGTCGCAGATTACCGATCCCAGGACAGAATGGGAATCTCAGGAGGGTAAGGGAATCACAAACCGAATCAAAATGACGTCTTTCTAGTATTGCTGAAATGTCTGTAAGTACATTCCTCTTGCATTCTCTTCTCAACACGCTTCATCTGCATACATAGCTATATATGTCTATATATATGTATAAGTTACAGATATACTTTATGTATTTTGTCAATCATGGACAAGGAGATTTTGATATATGAAAAGATATCTTTACTTCCAACATCAAGAAAACAAAAAGCAAAATCAAAGATGTAAATGTTAAACCTAAAACGATAAAGCTCCTGGGGGAAAACTATGACAGCTAATTTTAAAAAAAAAGGCTAACAAACATAACTACAAATGCACGAACAGCAAAAGAAAAATTAAAATGACTGGAACCGCATAAAAATTAAACACTTATGCTCATCAAAAGACTTTATCAAAGAATAAAAAGACAACCTACAGACTCAGAAAAAATCTTCAGAAACAACATATCCAATAAGGGTCTCATCTCTAAAACATGTAGAAAACTTCAACAACTCAAAAACCAAAAGACAACCAAATTAAAAAAAAGGGCAAACAACACGGAACAGACACTTCACCAAAGAGAACATTCAAGCAGCCCATAAATATATGAAAAGATGTTCAGGATCATTAACCATTACAGATGCAAATCAAAACTAGAATGACATACCATCTCATTCGAGCTAAAACAGCATTGATTAAAAAAAAAAAAAACAGGTAACAAATGCTGGCAAAGATGTGGGGAGGTTGAAACCCTTATCCACTGCTGGTGGGACTGTCAAAAAGATACAACTTCTACGGAAAATGGTATGGTGCTTCCTCAAAAAACTAAAAACAGAAGTACCTTATGATCCAGGAATCCCACTTCTAGGTATATACCCTAGAGACCTAATAAAGTGACACAAACAGAAATATGTACGTCTATGTTCTTATGGATTACACCTCAACATAAAGAAACAAAAACCCTCACAGCTGGACCAGTAAGTAACATCATAACAAACAGAGAAAAGATAGAAGTTGTCAAGGATTTCATTTTACTTGCATCCACAATCAACACCCATTGAAGCAGCAGTCAAGAAATCAAAGGACATATTGCACTGGGCAAATCTGTTGCAAAAGACCTCTTTAAAGTGTTGAAAAGCAAAGATGTCACTTTGAGGACCACGTAAGCCTGACCCAAGCCATGGTATTTTCAATTACCTCACATGCATGCAAAAGCTGGACAGTGAATAAGGAAGACCAAAGAAGAATCGATGCCTTTGAATTATGGTGCTGGCAAAGAATTTTGAATACACCATGGACTGCCGGAAGAATGAACAAGTCTGTCTTGGAACAAGTAAAGCCAGAGTGCTTCTTAGAAGCAAGGATGGCGAGACTTTGTCTCACATACTTTGGACACGTTATCAGGAGGGACTGGTCCCTGGAGAAAGACATCATACTTGGTAAGGTAGAGGGTCAGCGAAAAAGTGGAAGACCCGCAACGAGATGGATTGACACAGTGGCTGTAACAATAGGCTCAAGCATAATAAAAGACTTTGAGGATGGTGCAGGATCAGACAGAATTTCATTCTGTTGTACACAGGGTCGCTATGAGTAGGAACCAACACGACAGCACCTAACCACAACATTTATTGCAGCATTATTCACAACAGCAAAAAAAAAAGAAACAGCCTAAGTGCCCTTCAATGAATGGATAAGCAAAATGTGGTACACACATACAATGGAATCCTATGCAACCATAAAGAACAATGATGAGTTCATGAAACACATTATAACACAGATGGCTCTGGAGGACATAATGCTAAGTGAAATACATCAATCACAAAAGGATAAATACTGTATGATCCCACTTTTATAAGAAGGCAAGAACAGACATATATACAGAGAACAATGTTCATTGGTGATTACTCTCTAGATCATAAATGGAGCCCTGGTGGCACAGTGGTAAAAAGCTTGGCTGCTAACCAAAAGGTCAGCAGTTCGAATCCACCAGCAACCCCCTGGAAACCCCACGGGGTAGTTCTAATCTGTCCTTATAAGTTGGAATCGACTCAATGGCAACAGGTTTGCTGTTTTATTTATTTTTAAGATTGTAAATACTTGTTATTTTTGGTGATGGGAAAGACAGCACAGAATGTGCGTATAACAGCACAGCCTAACCAAAGCAAATGATGCCACTAAGAAGCGCACAAGAGAAAAGGATGTTTGTGCTGAAGAATATGACATAAATAACCTGGCAACAATACCAACAATAATCAAAAAACGAGCGTATGATTATATATGTAGGTGTACAGGCAAATATGTATACAGGTAGGTACAGATATACACGTGTGCACAGATAGAAGTACCTATATGTACGTGTACATACAGATGTGTGCACACATATATATTCATAGAGGACACAGTTACAGATACTTCTCAGATATAATGAAATACCTTGCAAGAATCTTTTTCTGGGTTTGAAGACTAAAGACCTTAGTCTCATGGGACAACTCAGTCAACTGGCAACATAAAGTTCATGTTCTGCATCCTAGTGAAGTGAGTAGCGTCTGGAGTCTTAAAAGCTTGCAAATCGCCATCTAAGATACAACTATGTCTCTACTCGTCAGCAGCAAAAGAGAAAGAAGGAAACCAAAGTCTCAGAGAAGAAAACTAGTCCCCAGGGCTGACAACCTGCATGAGCCACAGTCTCATCTACCCTGAGACCAGAAGAATTAGATGGTTCCCAGCTGCCACTACCAACCATTCTGAATCAGGGCCACAATAGATGGACCATGGTAGACCGGGAGAAAAGCGTGGAACAGAACTCAAATTCTTAAGAAGTCCAGACTTACAGGACCAGTTGAGGCTAGAGGATTCCCTGAGACTACCATCCTGAGATACTCTTTAAACCTTGAACTGAACTAGGGAAACCAGAAATACTGGAAATGGATCAACGAGAATGCAATTAAAGAAAATGTTGACACACTGTGAAAAATGTTACTAATGTCACTGAACAATCTGTGTAGAAATTGTCAAATGGGAGCCTAATTTGCTGTGTAAATATAAGCTTTCACTGAAAATACAATAAAATATTATTTAAAAAAAAAGGAAACAATAAGTAACTTTGACTCACCTTTTAGTTTCACTTTTTGGATCATCACATTGTTCGGAAGTCTCTGTGACAATGATGTTTTCTTGGGGACTGTCTCCCAATTCTTTGGCACTGTTTTGATTTAAGTTTCTGTCTTCTGAATTAACCGTTACTCCTCCTCCAGTCTCATTTTCATTGAAGTTGTCATCATAGCTCTACATAAGAAAAAATGAATGCCATTTTAAAAATAAATAATACTACCTTCTTATGTTACATTGCAAAATAATTTTAATAGATAATGATAACATACCACACACTTTGGTAGGAGTGTATCTTAAGGAAATGAACAGAAGGAGATACTCATTTAGAATACGGATGCTCATTATAGAAATACTATTAAATTACAAAAAAAAATGCAAATAATCCAAATGTTCAATAAGTGAAATGTTTGAATACATGAAGGAAAGTATGAAGTTTTTAAAAATCATGCTTCCAAAGACAATTATGTGGAAAAATGCTAACAACACATTAGCGAAAAAAAGAGAAATAAAATACAGCCTGATCGCAATTTAATTCAATACTAAGTAATCTCTCTAGGCAGAATTCAGGATGTTATTTACAAAATTTTCTGTATTTTCCAAATGATCTGAATAAGCAACCATTGCTTTTATAGTCAGGAGGAAAAAGGAAAAAAAAACCACAGGAATTATTAAAAAAAAAAAAAAAACAGGCTTGGTAAGCATGTCTTCATTAAGTACAATTGTTTTTCGCTTTTGTTTTGGTAATATTTTGCCATATTTGCTCTCTCTCCCACTCTCTGCACGCACACATCTTCCCCTGAGCTATCCAAAAGTAAGTGGCAGGCAGGTACCATGACACTTCCCACGTATCTCGTAAGAACAAAAACATTCTTCCACATATCCACAATACCCTTATGATACTCAAGAATTTAACACTGAAAATATCTATTACACCATCCGTATTCAAATTTACCAACTGTTTTAATAATGTTATGGTTTTGCAACACCTGATACAGGATAAAACCAAAGCACATGTTTAATCTCTTTAATCACAAAACAGCTCCCCCAGGCTTTTTTTTTTTTTTTTTGGTCTTTCCTGACCATTTTGATGTTTGGTTTGTAGAATGGCCCACAATCTGATTTTGCCTGATGGTTTCCTCATGATCAGATTCAGGTTAAACATTTTTTGGTAAGAGTACTATAAAGATAATGCTGTATCTTCAGAAGGTGAAATGTTAGTTTGTCCCATTTTTTGATGATAGTAAGTTTGATCATTTGGTTAAGGTACTGCCAGATTTTTCCACAGTGAAGTTCCTTTTTCCTTTTTTAATTAATAAGAAATCTGTGGGGTGTTACTCTGAGACTGAGAATATCCTGTTCTCCAATAACTTTTCACTTAAGGATATGGTGTCTATTGATGGTTCTTGTCTGAATTACTTATTAATTGTATTTGTGGTTGCAAAATAGTAATGTTCCACATTTTTATTTTTGCCATGTGTACTAACTCCATTCTTCTCTTTCCTTTTTGCTCACTCCAACCCTCTCTTTTTTTAGGTTCAGTATAGATAAATGAATTTTTTTTTTTTTTAAACAAAATCAATGTGTGATAATCCATTACCATTATTTTTTTGATGACTCAAATTTTCCCAAAAAACTTGGCAGGTCTTTCAAGCTGGCTACTGGGTGTTTTTGCCACATCCTCATCAGTTTTTGAGCACTTCAGTTTCTGGCATAAGATGTTACAGGTTTACTTTGAACTTTCCCTGTCCCAGCCCAGGAGTCAATCATTTCTCCCAGAAGCCGTGATTCCTTTTAGTGAGGAACACTATTTAGAAACTAAGATCTGTGCACTTCGTGTGCTCACTGCAACTGGTGTCACTGCTTCTAGGCCCTCACAGTGGACAGTGCTAATACATTTACTTTCTTTAAATTATGAGCTCATATAGACACCTCCAATTCCAGTCCAACACTACAGGGTTCTTCCCCTCTTTCCCTCAATCTATATTTGTATTTCCCTTCTCATACAATCTGGATCCCAAAACCATTGATATATTTATTAATTTGCTCTGTACTACAATACACACAAAATAGCTTCAGAAATACCACATCAATACTGTCAATAAACCCACTAAGAAGAGTTCGAAGCTTTTTTTGCAGTTGTAATTGTCTTTAGAATATATCCCATGAAGGATGTTCAGAGTACTGTGTTCAAAAGTTACTTGGATTAACTCATCTTTTCTGTCAGTTAAAAATTGTTTGTTTCAGTTTGAATTCAATTTTATTTTTTCTAATCCTTGTTGACTTAGGCAATTTTTTATCATACAGAAAACTCTTCTAATTTTAAGTTTCAATATTTTCAGTATTTGCTGTCTTCTTCTCTTTCATCTATCAGTAAATTTCTCAACATTACTTTCTCCTTCAAAAAGAGCTTAGAAGGTATCAAGAAAAGTTTAAGTCTAAGAAAAGTCTAAGACATATAACTAAGTCTTAGACTTTCTCCCTGATATAATCAGGAACTCTAAACAACAGATGTTATAAAGTAATACAGCTCTGGAGGGAAAAAAATGGAGTGATCATCTGAAGTATTTTCGTCAGTAAAAAAAAAACACTAAAATGTGTTTATTTGTGCAGTCTGCAGAGCCTATTCTCCATGAATCAAGACAAGACCAGCTTAGGTCAGGTACAAATCCCTCTGCAATTTTATTTTGTCCTTATGCTAGTGGTTCTGGTACCAACACAGGAAAGAGAAAGTTCTAAACTAATTTAATGATCACAGGGTCTTTGGATGGATGACGGTATGAGTCAATTTACAAAAGGAACATTCAATTTGCTATATGGTTTTATAACTGATGCAAAAAGTTCCAAGTTACAATTTAACAGTGATTAACTGTTCCAAGTTACAATTTAACATGTGTCATGTATCATTTTTGGAATATGAAACTGATAAAAACTATCAAATACATTACTATAAATTTGGAAAACTAAGCCAAATCTAAAGTTTTATGAAAACTTATCAGTGTGCTACCAAAGTTTTCCTCAAAACATTTTCAGTTTTTGAAAAGATCTATATTTAATATATTTAATGTTAATATAATTAGATTATATTAAAGTGGCACAAAATCAATTCTATTATCTTTAGAACCACCAAACTGCCTTAGTAAAATGGACAAACTTGCTTTGTTTTTATGGATTTAAAGACATCCACAAGATTGTGTTGCACATATGTTATCAACCTACTATTTTATTTAAATATAATTCTTAAGAAAAAGGTTGAAAGAGATGCCAGCTGTGAAATATTTAAACTACTCAAATTCTGAGTCAGAACAACAAATGTTTCTTCAAGAATCACAATCATTTCAAGTTTCTTACCAAATGTTCCTTTTTACAAAATCTCATTTATATTGTAGGCAGAATAAACTTAGATATGCAATGCTCAACTCCCAGATTTTCCTATATTCCTGATTTTTTAAAGTTTGTCTTGATTTAAAAGCCCTGGCTGTCATCAAAAGTGTCCAGATATTTTTTTTAAATATGATCATTCAACTAATTCATACACGCAATATTTTTAAACATACTGGCAATAGTAATTTAGCAAGCTAACTACAAACAAAAAAGGAAATTATTATTGTCAAGTCCTTTTAATCAATTTTACGATCAACATAAATTAAGGAGTGAAAGTCGTTCTCCTTGACACAGACTATACTGAATAAACGAACACTGCAATTTTACATTTGATATTTAATGTCAAAAGTTTTTCAACATACCTGTGCTGGTTTCTGTCTCTTTTTCTTCTGTTTTTTAGAAAGCCTAACATAAGGATAAATATAAACCAAATGTCAAATACTTGACTTTGTAAAGATTTTCTAAGTGAAGAGAAAAATATCGTAATACTAGTGATAGAGGAAACAGTAAAATATTAAAAATACTTACTATCATAAAGCATTAAAAGGAAAATATTCACATGATCACATTAAGGAATTACAACAATGGTTCAAATGAAACTGACAGTAATTAGCTGATAAGTAATTGCCTAGATATAAAACTGCTTTTAACAGAGTCATAATAGATTTGTTGTTAGCTGCTGTCAAGTCGATTCCAACTCATGGCAACCCCATGCCTGCAGAATAGAACTGGTCCATAGGGTTTTCAAGGCTATGACCTTTAGGAAGCAGACCGATAGTCATAATATGCTCTGTAAAAATTTTATTTGACATTATACGTATATCCAGTTAAACACTATAAACTTCCTTTAACTAATAAATATTAACTGGAAAGTATTAGCATAGCAGAATAACTTCCTTGGGATAAAACAGCATTTAACCGCAATCTCTAAATGTGATAATTACATCTAGTAACATTGAATGTTTAGAAGTACTTTTGTTTTGGTGAATCTTCCACTTCTTCCTCAGAAATAGCATTCAATGTATTTTCATCAGTTTGAGGTCCTGAAAAATTCTCTTCCTCCTCTTCCAACTGCTGTTTTAACAAGGCAACCATTTCCCGATGCTTCTTTGATTTTTCATGATTCCTCATGCTGAAACAACAATCTGATGTAAGTAACTGCAACAGGATTAGTTTCTACGTGCCCAAGTATGTTGCTGGATGACTGCAACCAAGTCGAAATCTACTCTTTTTCATTAACTAAGCAAAACAGTGACATCACGGAAAAAAAAAACCAGACAGACCCCTACCAGCATTTCTTAGGCATTAAGTACACTGGAAGCCTATGACCACATTCTTTCTTCCCGTATCGCAGCATTCCCCCCTCCTGTCCTTTTATCTATGTATTTTCTTCCCCTTTTTTGCCAAATTCTCTATTATTTTTATTTCCAATCCTTTTAATAAAGCCTTCTCTACTGTTTCCTTTTAATCACTAAGTACTTCCTGAGTGCTTACGTGTCCTAGGTGTGCTATGGGTTTTCAGAGATCACTGGAAAATTATAAGACATACATTCTAATTCTAAAAGGAAAACCCCATGCATTTGAGAAGTGATGATGTAAGGGCTTGAAGTACAAGAGTAGTTTTGCTGTTTTCAGCAGCTGCCTTTCACCTTCCAGGAGCGGTCACCCTTCTTACGTGCATCACCTTAAATGTGAGCTCTGTCACATCTCTCTCTCTGCCTAAAACTCAACAGGCAATGTCTACTTCATTGCATCCGTGGACAACTAAACAGCACATCACAAAATAGAGTGACAGCACTTAAACTACAAGAGTTAGATAAGCTGGAAAATAGAAAACTTGGGTCACTATCTAATTTGTCACATCTGTTGAGATCTTTGGTTTTCCAGTTTGGCTTGTTATTCTTCCCACTAAAATTCTCCCTTAGACCAAGATTCCTTGGGACAGGGCTGTGAGGTACAAGAAGAGCCCGGGATATCTTGCTGTGCTGGAAAGTAAGTGCTCAAAAAAACCACTGGGAAATGTCAAAAGGACACAGTAGCCAGGCTGAAGGAAATCTCACTAACCAAATCTGGAAAATTTTGAGCATGAAAAGGACAGTAATTATAAAACACTGAAAAATAAATAAATTTACAAATTCATACCGATAAAAGACAAGATAAACAAGGGAGAAGGGAGGGCTGTAATTTATAACAGAAGGCTAAATGATAACTTGCAAATACAGGAAGAGCCCTGGCATTAGAAAATTATAATTTTACAACCATCATAGTAGGAAGGCCCTCAATGAGATGAACTGACTCAGGAGCTGCAACAATGGGCTCAAACATAGCAACAATTGTGAGGATGGCACAGGACCGGGCAGTATTTTGTTCAGAAGTACACAGGGTCGCTATGAGTCAGAACCGATTCAACAGCACCTAGCAACAACGTAGTAAAGATTAGTACAGGCAAAAATCATCAATGCATGCTAAATCTTGAGGGGAAATTTTGATGGGGAGGAGCAAGATATTTGCACGGTCTTAAAGTGTCTCCCCAGGGATTAAACATGCTGCAAGGGAAAATGTGTTGCTAGAGGGAAAAACAGTACCTACAGAAGAAAATCACATAACACCCCGACTGGGTGATGAATATTATCACCACCAGTGAGGGCAGATGAATGTTGTGTGCCTCCAGAGATGAGAATGACATCAAACCAGAACCAAACCCGTTGCTGTCAATTCCGACTCATAGTGACTCTACAGGACAGAACAGAACTGCCCCACAGGGTTTCCAAGGAGCAGCTTGGTTAGCAGACAAACTCTTAACCACTGCACCACCCGGGCTCCTGACACAGCACACTTATGCAGTATTTCATGTGGAGACGCAAAACCTGAATCTAACCAGGAGGAAACGGACAAACCCAAAGCGAGAAATGTTCTACTTAAAAAATATTATGAAGGGTCTATACTCTTCTAAAATGTCCATGACATAAAAGACAATATAAGGAAATGCTTCTAAAGTAAATGAGGCTAAATACACAATGCTAGATGGAATCCTGTACTGGAAGGGGAAAATGTTACAAAGGACATTAATAAAGGATCAGTTGACAAACCTGGAATATGAGCAGTATATCAAATAAAAGTATCCTATCAGTGTTAAAAATTTCCATAAGTTGATGGCTGTACTGTGTCCATGTAAGAACATGTACAACAATGTCTTTATTCTCAGGAAATACATACTGAAGTATTTAGAGGTAAAGGAGCATTGTATATGTAACTTACACTCTCAAATTATCTGGGGAAAAACAAACTGTATGTGTAGAGAGAAAGCATGTGCAAATAAGCAAAATAGGTGAATCACATGCTCTAGATACTATTACAATTTTTGTCTGACATTCTCCAAAAAAATACCTCCTTCATTTCTGCCTTTTGTTTTTTACTTCTCTGCCTCTCTGCTACTCTGCCACTTCTCTGACACTTTAGTATCTCCCCCTTGGGGTTATGGGGTTACAAGGTGATACTATTTATGACTCCCACGTCCCCTCTATCCTCCTTTGGTCTCCTTTCTTCCTTACTGCATGTGTTTTGCTTCCTTCTTCCTTGTTAATTCCACTCTCATGTTCTCCCATATTCCCTCCCCGCCCCCTTTACAACAGTGTCCTTTTTAATACTTTTCTCTTTGTCACCGTTCCCTCAAAATAAAGTCCTTCCCCTTCAGCAAATATACTTTAGGCAGGACAAGTTTAAAGTTCCAAGGCTGGTCGCCACAGCCTGCCTGGGAGAGAGATGGTTGGCAGTGGGTCTGACACCAACACAGGGAGACATGATTAGATTTGGTCTAGCCTGTGAGACTTTTCCTTCTTTGCCAAAACAGGCAAAATTTCTTTCTGGAGACAGCCTACATGTTTGAAAAGCAGCTATTACACAGGAATACTGGGATGGATGCGAATGAGTACAACAGGCTTAACAGCTGGCACAAATCCTTCTTCCTACCCAGCTGGACAAGAAATCACTCAGTGTGACACATGGGAGCATGATAAATTGCTGGAAGCAAATTCTTTTTAGGATTTTCAAAGTGTTACACATCACTTCAAAAGAAAAGGAGAGTTCAAAGATATGAAACGTACGCCTTTTCTGTCTTGAAAGATTTGTCACATGCAGGGCAGTAAAGGCCATCGTAAAGCTCAGCATCCTCGGCCTCATCACTGTCCTTACCTATGAGAGGAAAACCTGTAGTGAGAATCCTGTTTGATTAGAATGCAAATCCAAAGTACGTTAAAATTATGTGTCTTTAGTAATGACTAAAGCTGTACAAAGATTATAAACTAAAATTGTGGTATTTCTTTACAAGAAACCAAATAACGATATAAGGATTTAAAACCGGCAGTACATTTTAAGAGAAGGCTTCCAACTAAATCACCTTATCTTTCAAGTTATTTTTCATAAGCCTATTTAGAAGATGATTAAAAAAATCCTCAAAGCCCTGGTATGAGGTAAGTTTAGAAAATCAAATGCCACTTTAACAGCTCACTAGAAAGCAAATAGTCCAACAAACATTTTTTAGTTTACCTTTTGAGCAAAATTTGGTTCAAACATACCTACGACTATGTTCTACTCTTAAATGCTTAAATAGACTTAGTTTACAAGCTTCCATCATTATTGCTGTTGTTGCTGTGTGCCATCAAGTGACCTCATGTGACATAGCAGAACTGCCCCATAGGATTTTCTTGGCCGTAATCTTTATGGAAGCAGATTGTCAGGTCTTTCTCCCATGAAGTGGCTGGGGGGATGTGAACTGCCAACCTTTCAGTTAGCAGCTGAGCACTTAACCATTGTGGCACCATGCAATAACCTTGGACTAATCAAATAATTAATAAAGAACACACGATTTGAAGTAAAAATGTGGATCTAAAACTGGCCATACATTGGCAGGCATATCCCGTAACGTCTCAGTCTTAGTTTCTGCCTCAGTAAAATGGAGATAATCCCATGATTAAAATCTACATTTAAGGCTATTGTGTGAGGAGCAAGCACAAATCTTTATTTGAAAGCACTTTACAAATTATGAAATTCTACATAATTATGCCACCTTACATTTATAGAGTGCTCCATAATTTTCAAAGCACTTCCACATGTACTACACTTCTGATTCATCAATAAAACAATTTCCTAATCATTTTGAATCAATAAAAGTTTGTTATTTTATCACCTGGGCTATTAGTCTGACAAACACATTTATAGATAAGGTAAAACTGATAGATGATGTTTGGATCATTAACTTTACTCCTCATGGACCAAAGAAAGCGGGGGGAATTGGGTATACAGTTACTCTCAACAATGCCTAATCCTCACCTTTTAAGGTGGTCAAGTGCCTGTGCTCTAACAATAAAAGCAGAGACAAGAAGCATTTCAGTAAACAAAGAGGAACGCCTCCACACTTGGACATGAGAGGAAGAATTTACATATACCACATCGACTCCTGCACAATATTAGCTTCTCTGGAAATAGCTGCTATTGAAACTCGACCTACAGCTTAATTGCTTGTTCTTTAATAACCAGTCACACTTGTCAATATGTCCACTTGTACATACACTTACACAGCCAGAAGCACAAATCATTTAGAACATGGTCTAAAAAGAGCTGTTACCCAAATTACCTGAACCGGACTATTTCAATAGACCACTTTTGTTTGGATCATACAGTAGTGTTGTTAATCTGAATTACTTGCCATGTTTAAAAATTGAGACTGTCACATAAAAATTTAGATTTAAAAACAAGAGCAAACACTCCACCAACACTGGCCCACACTCCAGAGCTCTGCAGGTTCTCCTATCTGCTTGCCCATTCCCTGTAGTCTTACACCTCGGCCCCTCCACCGGCACCAGTAGGCATCTGAGTGCACAAGCCCTGCCTGCGAATATATTTATTTTCTAATATTTATCAATGAATGGAGAAAGAGTTACCATCCTGCCTGACTCTGGGGTCTTGTTCCTCCACTTCATCTTCATCCGATCCATCTCCAAACTCCTTTCCATACTGCGCCTCCATCTCCCTGAGCTCCTTCTCCAAATTGGCCACCGTCATCCAGCTCTGTTCTTTGTACTGTTCTGCCAGCCTAGACACACAATAGCACAGTCGCACTGACCTTGAGAAGTAGTTTCAGCGTTGTTTTTAGTTATTTGTTAGGCTTAACCCTGTGCCCTAAAAAGCTTCTTCTTCCCAAGCTGAAACTGTCTACAAACTGCTAAAACCTACGTACGCTGAGTTAAACTGGGGCAAAATCACTTAAATCTGTTACTTAGGTAGTTGATTTTAACTGTTCTTCTAGGTAATGGGCTTTGAAACACAGACATCTTAGCAACTTCGTACAGGCTTTCAGGTAATTTTAAATCATATTTTAAGTATTAAGTACTAATTTTCAAAAGATGCAGGGTGGGGCAGATGGAATTTTTAGAGTGGATAATTTTTTAAAGAATGCTATAATGCTCTGGACGCAATGCTTTTACAGCAATTCCTAACAACAAAACTTTAAATGAGTTAAAACTAACTAAATATCTAAGAGTATCCAGAACTGAGAGAGGCAGTATCGCATGGGGGCTAAAAGCAGGGGCTCTAGACTCAGACGGGTTGGGTCCAATTCCTGGCTCTGCAGGTAACTAGCTAAGTGATCCTGGGCCTGCCTGCCTGCTTCTTCAAAAGAACAAGGAGGATTAAAAACAGAACGTACTTCAGAGAATCACTGTGAGGAGAGCACTCAGAACAGGGCTTTGTACAGAGTAAGAATTCAACTAGTGTTCAAACCAAAACCAAACCCATTGCAGTCGAGTCGATTCCGACTCAGAGGGACCCTACAGGACAGAGTAGAACTGCCCCAGAGTTTCCAAGGAGCGCCTGCTGGATTTGAACTGCCAACCTTTTTGTCAGCAGCTGTCGCTCTTAACTACAACGCCACCAGGATTTCCTCAACTAGTGTCAGTTATAAAATTCAGCAAGTGTCTATAAAGGATCTTAAGTATAAAGGGCCTCTGAAGCTAAACATCCAACTAAAAATAAAAATTTTTACACAATAGATGAAAAAACACTCTCCACTGTCAGGATTTAAAAAAAAAAAAAAAAAAAGACGGCACAAGGATGATGATGTAATCTAACATGAAAATGCATGTCAAGTATCCACTGGTGTTTCCATGGACTTCTGTTCAGAGAAGGATCTGGCCACGCGTTACATACTTTGCCTGCTTTAGCTTCTGTTGCCGCCTCATCTCTTCGACCTTCCGCGCCTTCTCTGCGTTCTGTTCTTCCACCAGTTTCCGATGAGCCTGCACTCTTTTATCTCTTTTACGAACGAAAGCTACCAGCTGTCGGACGAGTTCATTCTTCTCTTTCCTTGCTTTGTCTCGAATCTTTTTGTTTTCTTTTTCCATGGCACGTTTTTCCCAGCGGTTTGAAGCTTGTCGTGTATCATACTCTTCCTTCCAAGCAAAGTTCTTCTGCGTGCAGAAACTCTGCCAATAAGCGTAGAAAGGATGGACTATCTGGTGACAAAGAAAATAAGTAACAATCTACTTTTTAGTCTAGATTTTCTTTTTAAAGAAAATCAGCAAATATTAGTGGTGCAAAACATCTTCCAGCTTTCTTAATTCTTTTTTCAAAATAGCACTCTTGGTCAATGGAGAAGACAGTCCTTTCAAGGCTTTACACAATAAATCATTCTTCAGAAAGGATTTAGTGAGGAAAGGAAAAGAACCCTACTGACTACCGAATGGAACCAGGGTCAATAAACAGGGAAAAGAGGGGAGGCCACGAGAGAACCGAGCGCTCCTTTAGGAAGGAAGAGGAAGAGAGGATGCCCAAGTACAGGACTGAGAACTAGGGTCAGTTTTTTTATATATAAAGAAAGGGGGAAATGACATACTGATGAATGCTAATCATAAAACAGAAATAAAAAATTTTTTTTCTTAACATTTTTCTTGTACCGTATCATAGTCACTTTGAGAGTCTCCAAAAGTTGGGAAATCTTCAGCTTCATCCTCTAACACAGATTCTAGTTCTTCCTTTGCAATCATTTCAAAAACATTACGATACACTGTGTAGAAACCCTGGAAAACAGTAACAGAAACACAAATTCCTAATAATTTTATGGTCTAATTACAAGTAAGATTTTACAATGTAATTATGACAAACTTAGATGTTAAAGAATTACTCCAAACCAAACCCACTGCCATTGATCCTGACTCAGAGCAACCCCATAGGGTTTCTCCCATGGAGCCACTGGTGGTTCCGAACCACTGACCTTTAGGTTAACAGTCTATCACTTTAACCACTGCGTCACCAGAGCTCACCAAGCATTACCACCGTGACTGCACTTAGATTTCAACTGGCTGTTATATGATGAATTTAAATATGAAGGCAATTTTTTTACTTGGCTTTTGGAAATAAACATTGTTTCACTTTCTATAACAGAATAATTTTAAGAGTCCTCTTGTATTTCACAGCCTTTCCAATGTGCTTCATAAGAAATTAAGAGTGAGCTCATTTATCTTACCTTTTCTTCATCTCCATAACCAGAATAACAGGTAACAGTGAAATAGTGAAGCAAATCTAAGCTGTCATCTTGATACTCTCCATCAAGCCCACCTTTCAGGAGAGCCTCTCTGTGATTATCATACCTAAAAATATATATAGTATCATCAGGGAAGGCTTAATAAGCAAGAATTCAAAAGGACTACTTACTGTGTAATGGCCAAACTATCATTATAGTGCATTTCAACGTGCCTAAGCTATAACCCAAGCAATTTTAGGAAAACATTAACATGAAAAGAGAAACCCTTGCAAGAACTGCTGATTCAAACTGACCGCAACTTCTAATAACCTATAGTCATTATACACTACTAGTCCATATGAAGGAACCCTGGTGGTGCACTGGTTAAAGAGCTTGGCTGCTACCCAAAAGGTCAGCAGTTCGAATCCACCAGCCACTCCTTGGAAACCCTATGGTGCAGTCCTATTCTGTCCTATAGGGTCACTGTGAGTCAGAATCGACTCGACGGCACTTAACAACAACAGTCCATATGAACAGGAATTTAATAAGCTAGAAAATTTCTAGTCTCTCCCAGAAAGGTAGTTGCATCACCATAGGTAAGAAACATTACTAAGTAAGACAGTACTGGACATAATATGGTCCATGGACTTGTGATCTGGGAATTTACCAGCATACACCAGAATAAAACTCTTCCTACATTTATGTGAACTTAATCTATAGAATTTTAAACACACAGAACTGCTAAACTAGAACAATGATAAAATAACAGGCTGATTTGTTTTATAACACTTCAGACTCTGAAGTTGTCATTTTTTGGTACTTCACAATTAAAGCTGATACTGTGCCTACCTCCATTATGAACTACAAACATACAGATAACAACAATTTCCATTTAGTGCCAAGCACTGTGCTAGGAGCTTACACACACATTATCTCAATCACTCCTCATAATAACCCTATAAAGTAGGTATTACCCCTATTCAATAGGTCAGAAAATTGGAGCTCAGAGATATTAAATAACTTGTTGTTGATAATCATACAAAGCCAGTAAAGCCCAAATTCACAACCAGGTCTCTTGCACTGGAAAGATCACGTTAACAGGCAGGAGCTTCAAGATAAGGGAACCCTTCAAACAGGAAACCACCTAAGATCCAGAAAACAGGTTAGAGCCAAAGGAAGTCAGGAAAGACTTTCAAAGTTCTGGAAGAACGCTAAAAGCATTTCTAGGGCTAGATCTTCAGATTCCTTAGGCAGAGGAAAGTTTACGATCCTCTGATTTTCTTAGGAAAGACAATCACTTTTCTTTATAGCCTTTCTCTCCTGACAGTGAGCTTTGCTGTACTGTTTAACACACAGAACTTGCACTGTAGCACTAAACGCCCACCTGCTCTTTGTAGCAGCAGGATCTTGCATGCTTATGTCAGGGCATAAAACCTATTCCTTTGTAACAAAAAGCTCACCGAGGAGCTGAAAACCTGGAACTTCACTCACAAAGATTTTTGTTTGGAAATTGTATTAAATTACCAGATTATCATTAGTAAAGTATTTGTCATTGATGTAGAAGCTTAACTCATATGAAGCAGCTCTATGGAAAATATTACAATTCCTGTATTAAAACACTGTATTTGTTTTAAAGGACAAGTCAACATTCTTCTTATCTGTTATCAGTAAATGTTACACATCATTTAATGGGAAGTCACCTTAAGTATGAAAATCAAAGCTATGTCTAACACTGCCAAACTTTCAGGGCCTATTTCCTCAATGATAAAATCAGGTAGTTGGAAGAATCATCTCTAAGGTTCCTTCCTACCCAAATATGAGATTTTCCCAAATGAACAGTAATTGACAGATGCTTCCAAACATACCCAAAACCATTTAATGTATTACCATTTTTAAGAACGCTATATTGACAATTCTTCCCAACAAAACAGAATACGATAGAAAGAATAGTGTGATGCTCACCATGCTCTTTCCTGAGGGTCACTCAAAACATCATATGCTGCTTGGATTAATTTAAACTGCTCAGCTGCTTCTACAGCATTATCCAGATTTTTATCTGTCAAAATAAAGTCACAGAAATTCAGTCATCAAAAAGCTACAGGACAGGATCTAAAAGGGACCTCTTCCATCACAAATGCCGTAAGCAGATCTGGAGCATACAAAACAAAAACGACTTAGGAAAAGCAAAGGGATCCCGGGTGGTAGCTGAGAATCAGGATCTGTTACAAGCATCTACTTGAGTAGAAGGAATTTCAGGCTCTCCCCTAAGCCTTGGTGTGCCACTGAGCACCAAATTGAGATATTTACAAATGGAAAACCTTGATTAATACATATTTTATTTTCAAAAGGAGAAGAAAATATTGCCAGTCATGGAAAGAAATATTTACTCAGTATTAGATTATTTAGTGTTGACATTATTTTTAAACTTTTCTTTCATATCAATGTTTATTAAAATAAACTTCATAAAGTTTAAAAAACATATTAAAAAAAACCTGTTGCTGTCGTGCTGACTCCAACTAATAGCTACCCTATAGGACAGAGTAGAACTGCCCCAGAGAGTTTCCAAGAAGCAGCTGGTGGATTCCAACTGCCGAACTTTTTCGTTAGCAGCTGAGCTCTTAACCACTTTGCCACCAGGGCTTTCCCTAGCTGTGCTTCCTTAACCATGGAATTCAGAAAGCATCTTCACTTCAGTGTAGTAGCGAGCTTCTAAGATGGCCCCCAATGATCACCACCTCCTGAATTCACACCTTTGTGTAGTCCTCACCCACGTTACTAAGGTTGGTCTGTGTGATAAACAGCAGAAGGCAGAAGTGATGATATGCGACTTTCAAGATCAAATCAGAGTTTCCACCTTGGGAACGCCCTCAACCCATCCCTCTCTAACTCTCTCAGATCACTTGGAAAGAAGGTAGCTGCCATACCATGGGGATACACAGGTAGCCAATGGAGAAGCTCATGGGGAGAAGAATGGAGGTCTCTGGCTCACAGCCAGCAAGGAGCTGATGCCAGCCAACAATCACATGAGTGATCCTGAAAGAAGTCAAGCCTATGATAACTGCAGCCCCAGCCAACAACTTGATAACAACCTCATGAGAAAGCCTGAGCCAAAGCCACCCAGCTAAAACTATTCCCAAATTCTGATCCTCAGAAACTGTGGGAGAATCTATATAATGAATATGTTTGCTATTTTTATTGCTTGTTGCTTTTAGCTCTAAGTTTTGGGGTAATTTGTTACATAGCAATAAATAACTAATACACTTGGTAAGTGAAATATTTTGAATCTACTATGTTGTTGTTGTTAGGTGCTGTCGAGTGGGTTCTGACTCAAAGTGACCCTATGCACAACAGAACGAAACACTGCCCAGTTCTGTGCCATCCTCACAATCGTTGTTATGCTTGAGCCCATTGCTGCAGCCACTGTGCAATCCATCTCCTTGAGGATCTTCCTCTTTTTCACTGACCCTCCATTTTTCCAAGCATGATGTCCTTCTCCAGAGACTGATCCCTCCTGATAACATGTCCAAAGTATGTGAGACGCAGTCTCGCCATCCTTGCTTCTAAGAAACATTCTGGTTGTACTTCTTCCAAGACAGATGGGTTCGTCTTCTGGCAGTCCATGGTATAGTCAATATTCTCCGCCAACACCACAATTCAAAGGCCTCAATTCTTCATCGGTCTTCCTTATTCACTGTCCAGCTTTTGCATGCATATGAGGTGACTGAAAACACCATGGCACCTTAGTCCTCAAGGTGACATCTTTGCTTTTCAACACTTTAAAGGTCTTTTGCAGCAGATTTACCCAATGCAATGCGTCTTTTGATTTCTTGACTGCTGCTTCCATGGGTGTTGATTGTGGATCCAAGTAAAATGAAATCTTTGATGACTTCAATCTTTTCTCCATTTATCACGATGTTGCTTACTGGTCCAGTTATGAGGATTATTGTTTTCATTATGTTGACGTGTAATCCATACTGAAGGCTGTGGTCTTTGATCTTCATCAGTAAGTGCTTCAAGTCCTCTTCACTGTCAGCAAGCAAGGTTGTGTCATCTGCATAAGGCAGCTTGTTAATGAGTCTTCCTCCAATCCTGATGCCCTGTTCTTCTTCATATGGTTCAGCTTCTCAGATTATCTGCTCGGCATACAGACTGAATAGGTATGGTGAAAGGATACAACCCTGAGGCACACCTTTCCTGACTTTAAACCATGCAGTATCCCCTTGTTCTGTTCGAATGACTGCCTCCTGATCCATGCACAGATTCCTCATGAGCACAATTAAGTGTTCTGGAATTCCCATTCTCCATAATGTTATCCATAATTTGTTATGATCCACACAGTTGAATGCCTTAGCATAGTCAATAAAACACAGGTAAACATCTTTCTGGTATTCTCTGCTTTTAGCCAGGATCCATCTGACATCAGCAGTGATATCCCTGGTTCCATGCCCTCTTCTAAATCCGGCTTGAACTTCTGGCAGTTCCCTGTTGATATACTGCTGCAGCCACTTTTAATACACCAAGTTCAAGCTGCACTCAAAAATTTGTCTTCTAAAAGGTTAGAAGAAAATATGAAGGCAGAAATGTATTCCCTACAAATGGTCTTGCAGACTTAAAATAAGGCCTTTGAGGGCATCCTGCTACCTATTCTCAGATACCAACCATCACACTCATCCCAAGACCTTCAGCTGGCCTTCTGTTCCACAACTAATACCAACAACACTTTTGCAACTGCTACAATTTGCCACAGCTCTTTTTGCTAAGATGCTTAAACAAAAAAGCTTTAGATATTGTTTCACAATGATGTCCCTTTGGAATTGAAAAGAAGCCTTCTATTGAGTTAAAAAAAAATTTAAAAAACTCCTTCTCTGTAGCCTAGCTGTGTATCAGAACACAATGCGAATCTAATTCTCCTTCCACGTGGTAGCCCATGTAAAGACAACCAATGTGTCATCTCCTCAGTTTTCTCTTTTCTAGACTAAATATTCCAGTTTCTTATGGTATGCCATACTTCCTGATAACATCTGGAACAAAAGCCTATGCTTCAAATATGGTCTGATAGGAATCAGTAAGCACCAAGGAGCCATTCATTACTTCCTTTTCTTAAAACACTATACTTTTAATGATCATAGCTAATTGCATTAGCTCCTTTATAACTGAATTATAACAAAGTTTTAAGTATTTTCCACATTAATTTCTAACAAGCCAACTGATACCTGTATAATGGTAATGGATTTGTTTTTAAACTCAAATGTAAGCCTTATGTCTTCTGTTTTGTGCAGATTACCCAACACCCTGTTCCCTTTTCTCTTGCAGCCTTTACTGTGGAGGCTAGAAAAGCTAAAATGTTTGTTTACCCAATCTCCTTTGCTGCTAGGAATGGCCACATACACAGTTCTGACCAACGAGGTGAAAGCAGTCATCGTTTGCTGTATTTTCTTCTTCCTTCCTCTGTACTATTGTCTTGTATGTGGACATGATGGTTGGAGCTTCAGAAGCAATTCTGAGATCATGAGGGAAAAGCCAAGAGATTCACAGTGACATTGAACCTGAAAATGCTGAGCCACTAAATCAATGCCAGCAGGCAGCTACCTCCAAACCTTATTACTGAGAAAAATAAACTCTGTTAAAAAATTGTTATTCCCAACTAAGACTACCAAATTCCATCTTGTTGTTGTGACCCTGTTGCAATCACTTCTAGGTAGTACTGGATACCCAGTACTCTGTTGCAATTATTTATTTTGATTATCACTCTATGGCAGATGTGGCTATGATTCCTTGTTATTCACAGAACGCTGATTTTGTTAGAAGTGGCTACGTACCCTATTAAAAAAATACTCATCTCCACAGAAGTTGGGGTAATCAGGTGACCCAACTCTAGCCAATGAGATATAAGTACAAATCTACTAAGAGAAGCATTCAGGAAAGGCACCGTTTTCCTGATGGAAAGAGACGGGCTTGGGTGGCACTCACCTTGTGCCCTTCCCCACCCCTTTCATCCTGCCCAGAGCAAAGGTATGATGCCTGCAGGTGAAGTCATCTCTCAATTACGAGGATGGTGGCAGAAACTGCTAGTTCACCACTAATATCCACTCTCCCCTTCTTCCAATAAAAGCTAAACCCTGGTTTTATGGTCAGCGCCTAGTTCCCATTTCCTAGCCTCCCTTGAGGCTTAGGTGCAACCACATGACTACGTGCTGGTCAGTAAAATTTGTAGTATTCTACGGCAGCTTTTAAGACTCTTCCTTAAAAGGAAACGAACGCTCCTGTCTGGAGACGAGATGAGAAGGCAGAAAGGGTCAGGAGATGGTTGAATGGACACGGGAAATCCAGGGTGGAAAGGAGGAGTCTGCTGTCACAATATAGGGAGAGCAACTAGGGTCACATAATAATGTATGTAGAAATTTCTGTATGAGAGACTAACCTGAATTGTAAACTTTCACTTAAAGCACAATCCCCCCCAAAAAAAGGAAATGAGCAAACACTCTTTTCCCTTCCTCATCTTTTTCTTCATTCTGCTGCCTGGTAGCCCTAGCTGCCACCTTGGAACATGAGGGAGGGTCCCATATGAGAGTTGTTTGGTAGAGGGTCCAGGACTTCATGGAGGAGAAGTGCTATACCAGGCCTTGCCTATCTCTGGACCAATACATAAGTGAGCAATAAACATTCTATCTCTGATGCTTAATTGCTTACACTTCATGTAAACTCAAGCCATATTACGTGAATAGAGCAGGAAGTAAGAAGGAGACCCAAGTCTCTGATGGCTTCATCAAGCAGCTGAAGCTATCAGGATGGGCCACCTCTGGATTTCTTGTTATATGAGAAAAATAAAACTATTAGATGTAGCTACTACGGTCAGTTTCCTCTTGCATGCACAATCCTGACACCCACCTCATCAAGGTGAGAGTCTAGCTAAAAATGGTCAGTGTGTCTTTGTCTTCATCATTAATAAGTTCGAGAGGATAAGGCCGAGGACAAGGCCCTGTGACATTCTGGTATTTTCCAGTATTCATCAAACACACTTCAATATCCATCAAACGCACCTCAAGTAGGGCTACTCAACAACTACAGCATCCTAACTAGCCTCCACTTCTTTTCTTGCCTCCTAGGATAACAGGAGAAACTTTATTAAGACCAAACTAAATGATCTAGATAAGCAAACAACTGAATTTTACTATATACAAGAAAAAACATGACTTTTTCATGGTTTTCTTTTTTCCTTTTAATTAATACTGTACCTTGTCCTGTCTCTTCCCACTCCCTTCTTCCCTCCCTAAAAGAAGTTTGGAGAAAGTTAAAAGGTTTAGAC